CTATTCATATTGTTCATTTTCTAATGATGTCTTCAGTTCTTTAATTGAAATGTGCATTGCTAACAGCGGAGCTATCTCAGCCGATAGGCTGCTTGTTTTTTTTACCGATCAGTACTTAAATTTACATTCATTACTTTCTGATTAATTCTTAGAAAATGTGGTTTTAAAAAAAAATTGTTGATGATCATACCTGTTGGGATAACATTGGAAAATTGGTTTCTGGCAGAATTCCTGTAAATTTAACAACACTTACTGTTAAGTCAAAAAACTCATTTTAGAGACGCAAACGATGATAACAACAAGAACACCAACGACAACTCAACAGTAAGTCCCACCTAATGTATACTATTATGTATTCTATACAAAACAGGATACTCAAATACAATTTTGTTTCATTTTTTAATGTAATGTAATTATAGACAATGTAATCCTGATTCCGCACATAAATATATTTATAAGAGTAGAAAAAAAAAATCGTTAGTTATAATAAATCTCACCTCCATTTAACAGGCAAACACTTTTTACTTTAAGTTTTTGATGAACTACAAACTGGGAGTTGTCAAACCTGTAAAATAAACATTTTTATTTTTCTAATTAACATTCACATCCCCTATTTTAATGTTCCATAAGTTATAAAATATTTTGTGTAGACAGTAAATTCACAATTACATAATACAGAGCCAAATGTCAAGCTTCCACTCTAGCCAGACACCTGAATTGATGACTTTCCAGTTTACTAAGAACTGGTACAAATTTGAAAGTTGTGCAGGCACTTGCTTATATGCCCGATATGTACCTGTATAGCAATTCCTGTGCCACTGTATCACCATAGTCATGCGCTAGTAAATGCACTTCAGTAACATCAAGGTGAAACAATAAATCTTCCACGATGTCTGCCTGTTCCTTGATACTGTAGTCATGAGGGTTCTGTGGAGAAATACAGCACTTCAACCTCAGTCATCATGCAGTGCATGTTTTTGAATTTTGTGTGTATAAATATTTTTATACATCTGTCACCTAATGCCATAAGCTAGAGCATGCTGTAATTTTGCGGTATTGCAATGGGTATTTCCATCCTACCATATTAGGAAATGCAAATTCCAGATATGGAATGATTATGCGTGTAAACATCCTCTAATAATAGAAAACAAAACATGGCTGCCCCCAGGGTTTGACCGGTCCCCACACAGAAGTACGCTAAATCTGTTTTAAACGTTTTGGATTTCGGCATTCTCATGATGTATGTATTCCTAGGAGGAAAAAACATATAATAACAAGACATGAAATGTCACAGTCCCTGTTATTTGATTATAAAGTACAGGTAGTACAAGGAACATCTGCAAACAGGTGAATAAATA